AATTCCTAAAAGTCTTAAAGGGATAGTTCACCCAAAAATGAAAATTCTGTCATTAATTACCCACCCTCATGTCGTTCCAAACCCTTAAGACCTTCGTTCATCTTGGGAACACAAATTAGGATATTTTTGATGAAATCCGAGAGCTCTCTGACCCTGCATAGGCAGCAATGCAACTGAATGTTCCCAGGCTCAGAAACATTGTAAGGCCATCGATAGAATAGTCTATGTGACATCAGTGGTTTAACCATAATTTTATGAAGCTATGAGAATACATTTCTGTGCACAAAGAAAACAAAATTAACAACTTTATTCAACAATTCTTCTCCTCCAAATACGAATTCCGCCATTATGGAGAGTACCACGACGCATTAGGGGTGTGCGATATTGACAAAAAATAATATCCCGATATTTTCTGGGATTTTATCGATAATGATAATTAGACGATATTTTGCTGAGTGTATTATTGTGCTGGTATCTTAAGAACTGCCGTGGACAGCTGATTCCTAATATTTTTAATATTCTTCATATTCTGTGTGGTGGTCAGTTCAAACTGAGAGAAATTAATCTTTTCCAATAAGTTTAAACTTATTTTTACATTTTATGGGCATTTTTACCTTTAAAAAGCCATTTTTTCTAAAAGTGTCCATTATCTTTTGAGTTAAATTCTTACATTTAATCAGTGAATTAGAATAATAAGACATCTGGGCTGTTACCAAGCAAATTAAATCAACACAGAAGGTGCATCTGAAGTGGCATTTAGACACATTGTTTAATGCAAGACATGAATGCATTTAACCTGCAATTACAAATGCATAAATAATGTTTTGATATATTAAACATAAAATGTTGAATACTGATATTTGAATTTATTTAAATAATAAAAGATACTTTGAATGCCAGCAAGTGGCAGCAAGTCACTGTAAATAAGTGAGTCATTGCGACTGTACCGAATCATTTAAACGGTTGATTCAATCAGGAACGAAACAACGTCATGTTGCTCGGATATGCAAAACAGCGTTGTGGCTTTGTTTGGAATTATTTTTGTTGTCGAAATAGAGCAAAAACAGGCAATATAGTGTCTAATACACAAGTCTCTTAATTAACTTGTTTATTGAACTGTTGAAAAAAAACAATATCACATTTGTAATCATGGTAATATTTGGAGAAAAACGGCACTCTTCGTGTGAAATTGATTATTAACTATATGAAATGGTATAAATATATACATTTTCTGCCATCATGTCTTGAATTTGTGAACATTCTAAATGCATTTTAATAGACTGAATCATGCAGTGAAAGAACACACTCTATATGCGCACTAGTCTAAACTTCACATAATGTATGCGTGCGCTCTGTAGGGGTGTTTTGAATGGCTTTTGCAAAATACTCAATGTCAAATCGCACATCGGTAAAACAACAATTACGATATTATCGCAGACATTATCGCATTGCTTTCCTCTGCACGTAAACAAGGCTCAGCGCATGTGTGTTCTACGTCAGCAGCACCATAAGCATGCGTTGTTTACATGCAGAGGTACTCTCGATAATGGAGGAAGACGTGATTTAGAGGAGAAGAATTGTAGAATAAAGTCATTATTTTTGTTTCTTTGCGCACAAAGTATTCTCGCAGCTTCGTAAAATTACGGTTGAACCACTGATGTCACATGGACTGTTTTACCAATGTCCTTGGTCTGGGAACATTTCAGTTACTTTGCTCTCTATGAAGGGTCAGAAAGCTCACGGATTTCATCAAAAATATCTTAATTTGTGTTCTGAAGATGAACAAAGGTCTTACGGGTTTGGAACGACATGACGGTGAATGATTAATGACAGAATTTTCATTTTTGGGTAAACTATCCCTTTAACCTTAATGCCCTAAATTACTGACATACATATTTACTTGTATATTAACTTTGCATGTGTGACATTGAAAACAGGTTGTCTTGTCTGATGAGGGTGAGTAAGCTATGATGTAAACACAGGAGAAGAGAACGCCAGCACAGTACGGTCAGAGTTAGTTGTAGGGCCAAACAATGCAAAACCATCAACGGAAAATGACATTGTCTATACTGACTTGAATGGAGTGTGAAATCATAGAATGTGGGTGTAAGTAGTAATGCACACACACACATACAAATATGCACAAAATATGAGGACTGGCCCTTTATAATACATGCCAATCATTAACTTGGTCATTATAGTAAATGGGCTATAGGGTGAGGGCTGTACAGTGGGACCAAGGCCAAGGAAAGCATATCGAAGATACAGTTATGACAAATACAAACTCATATGTTAGATTAAAAGGAGTAAAGGTTGTTAGACTTGAATAATGAACAGCTTATTGTGGGTGAGGGTCAAACGAAAAGTACAGATGACAAAGTCAGTGACTTCAGGGGAAAAACCAATATAACCCTTGAGGTCTTTGAAAGATGCTTCAGTCACATGATTTAGTAAATATGATCTCACAGGGGCAACTAAAGTTTATCAAATTAAGTACATTGGTTAGACAGCAAATGACATAACTTTGTGTATCATCATCAATGACATCACGGAATCAATGCCGAACTGACTTTAACCAAAAAATTGACTGTTTACAGTATTAAGTGCGATATAAATAAAGGTGACTTGACTGTCATTTACTTCACTTCTTCAAATGACATTTGACATCTAACTTCCAACTCTGAAAAAAGGTCACTGATATGTTTTATTAAACTATGATCTGTATGAACTATCGTGTGGCTGTAATAGGACTGTGCAATTAATCGCATGCGATTGTCATGCGCATCTCGTCAGTAAAACCGGTCCCGTGATTAGTAGAAAATCTCCATCACCTGCTTTCAGATGGAGCGGCATTCACTACACAGAGCCGTAGTTCACTGACAATTAGGCAATATCGCGTTCATAATCGCAGATGAATCGCATTCGATTATAATCGAATGCGATATCGCCTAGCTTGTCAGTGAACTACGGCTCTGTGTATTAAAGGTGCAATAGGTGATTGTCTTCAGAAACATTTTTTGTTATGCTGGTTGAAAGTCTCTTCACATCACGATAGCAATCATTAAGTTAAGTGGTCTAAATGTATTTATCCGTATTCATATATTCTGTGGAAGGCGTAGGGCCAAGAAATGTCCGTCCAATCAAAACGCTCGGTCCAAGCGTTTTAATTACAGAGCGAGAATGGCAGACAAACATCAACAACCCGATCTTCCTTCCTGGTATTGTAGTACTTTTAAAGTTGTCTCACCAGTGAATGACACATGATGTAGCCCAGCGGTTCCCAATTCCTGTCCTCACGCCGCCCAGCTCTGCATATTTGGCATGTCTCGCTTAGTTAACACACCCGATTCAGATAACCAGCTTGTTAGAAGTGAGCTACGTGCATGAACTGTGTTCCGACCACAGTGTTCATTGCTCCCTACTCTCTGAGCAGGGGAAATCCGTTGAAGTTTACTTCACTTCAGAACATTCATTCATGGATTTGCGCTGCGCAGCATCTTCACACACATCACACTCACACACACACACACGTCTTCACATTCAGTGCGAGGACTGGAATTGGGAACCGCTGATGTAGCCTATTGAAGTAATGTTGTCTCTGGTATTCTGGTCTGTGAGCGTATATGCATTCAGGGGGCGTGGCTTTAGATGGCGATTGCAGGGAGGGTGGGACGTTCGCTTTCAGTGCTATCAGGCTAAAGTTAGCATTTTCCAAGATCTCCTACTGCACCTTTAAATGCCGCTCCATCTGAAAGCAGGTGATGGCGATTTACTACCAATCACGGAACCGGCTTTACTGAAGAGATGCGCATGACAGTCGCATGCGATTAATTGCACAGCCCTAATTTGCTTTAGCCTATGGTTGTGTATGAGTACATTTAGGACAAACCTACTGAAACAACCTATAAGCCACATAATTCAATTCAAAACATGTAATGCCTTCAGTTTAGCACTCTGAAAAAGTCCCACTAAACCACAGTGATCGTGATGACATGATGGGGAACAATGTTTGACAATGTTCCTTGTTGTCTAAAAATAAATAATTAACCAAATCAATGGTACTAAAAACTACATAAAATGAGAGGTAAAACTATTATACAACAGAATATTTGCATTTTGCAACCTTAAAGTGGAACACAAAATAAGATAGTAAGCAGAATGGCAACCTCGGTTACCTTTCACTTTCATTGCACAGAAAAAAAAACAAAAAAGGATGAAAGCGAATAGTGACTTGAGACTGTTCTACCAAACATATGCTTTTCTGTCTACAGAAGAAAGGAAGCCATACCAATATGGTAAACGACGACAGAAACAGAAGTTTCATTTTAGGGTGTACTGTCGCTTTAAGTCAAAACAAACATTTTAAAAAGTCTAACTTGGCTCCATTAGTCACATTACACCATAGCCAGTTTGATAATAATTATGGGGAGCAACATTTGACGTTATACCCAATTAAATGAATAACAAAAAATCTACATAAAATAAGAATAAAATGATTATACTACACAAAAAATTGCATTCCAGGCGCCACTTGAACGTTTGTAAGCGATGCGGATCCCTTTTCGTTGCCACAGCAACGCGATGCGACGTTGACTTTGACCAAACAGATCAATCACAAAAAACTTTAACATCTCAACACGAACTGCAAAGCCGCCTGAGATCAAAAGCGGCGTAAAGTTAGGCCCATCGATGAGTCAGTCTATCCATGATGAGAACAGGAAACAGAATTTTCAAGGGTTTCTAAGACGACAGACACCAAACTCAAAACAAACAACAAGCGATGATTGGTGATCAGGGCTGCAGTATTAACAAAACGCTCTTTTATAATCATATTTATGCTCGGATGTATATCCATTGACTGTTAAGAGGTTTCCCACAGTAAAAGTGACTATGAATCACAGTTACAATACTTCTCTTACAACAAGCTAGGACTTGTTTGATAATTCAAAGACAGATTTAAATGTCTCCGTGCGTAAAATGAACACAAACTCAGCGCCTACCGCGGTTGCCAGGTTCAGAGTGACAGCGTGGCGCAGCGGCTCTGTCTTCGTGTCACTGACGGTCCACTTCTAAAAACGCCTTATCAGTACATTTATACTTTGGACCAAGTGACTGTCACCGGATTCGCCATCGCACTTCTTCTACCTGTCGAAGTCAGATCTTAGGTAACTTCGCTTCTGGGAAGGTTATCGCGAACGAAATGTCCGTGACGCACCGATGTAATCCGAGAGTAAAGCGGAAGGTGGAGGAGACCGCAGGTTTTAAGTTTACGGCTTCCAGCTCAGGTTTGAGCCTCGAACTGTGTTTTGAGTTCCGCGGTGAGGTGAGCATGAGGTGGGCGGGGCATAATGGTGATTGACGTTTAGGAAGCCAATTAAAATCCATAGAAGCGTGATATGTAGCCTATCGAGAAACGGCATTTTAAAACACAACAGAGACCATTATGTAATTCAGGTACGCCTAGGTAAGCAGATCATCTATCTATCTATCTATCTATCTATCTATCTGTGTTTTTGTCTATCTATCTATCTATCTATCTGGCATCTGTCTGTCTGTGTTTTTGTCTATCTATCTATCTATCTGTCTGTCTGTCTGTCTATCTATCTATCTGGCATCTGTCTGTCTGTGTTTTTGTCTATCTATCTATCTATCTATCTGTCTGTCTATTACAGTCAAATTAATCGAACCATCTGTCTGTCTATTACAGTCAAATTAATCGAACCATCTAATAACCCAGAGAATAACCAGGTATTGGGTGGGCAATATAAGTATATTGTGAGGTCAACGTAAGTTCTTACGAAAGGAATAGGGCATCCATGATGCTGTGATTAATTTATGCTAGACAAATCGGCTCTTTTGCATGTCATCCCAGGGTTGCCTTAACGACAAAGGTTTTAGTTCATTGCCAACACCCATCTACACTAGAAAGGGAATCCTCCCTTCAGTGGAATGTACCAAACCACTGAACCTGACACAGGTATGTTTTAAAAGAGATTCATATTCACACATGAGTGCAGCACTTTAAACACTGAAGTGTGATGGACGTCATGTTGTCAGCTCTGGGAAATGAGCACTGAGACTAGTGCTTTCCCATGACAGTGGGCAACAAGTACAGCATACGGAAAATATGACATCAGATGCTTTTGTGTGCCATTTCTTATTTGCCTTCTTTTCCTTGTCTGTTTGTCTATATAGTGATATTGATCATTATGCCATTGTAGAAGTTTAGACACTTTATTTGGAAATTGAAGTAAACTTGACAAGACAAATCATTAAATTATCTGTCAGAAACTCTTTGCTTAAGAGAATTAAAACAATTTGAAAAGATCTATGAAAAGATCACTATAAATAAATGTATTAATTTTTTTCTCTGTTTTATTCATTGGTTGACAGTGACACATGAACACAAAGGAAAACACATAGTAAAACATATGCACTAGTTTTCTAAAATGCCATTATTTTAACAGATGTACAAATGCAGCAAGTGTAAACGACTACTTCATGTTAAACAGATTAAGATTTAATTAGGATTCAATTGAATCTGTGTGGATTATTGTCACGGTGCTACTGTATTGGAGCGCGGAGCGAGGAACGAGGAGACGTGGAGAACAGTAACAAGGAGATTTTAATAATATAATCCAACACAAGGGAACCAGGAAAACACACATAGCTGATGAGGTTGACGTAAACAATACCGGACAGCGAACTCAAAACAGGAAACCATTAAATACAGGACTAGAGGAGGGACACAATGAGGAACACCTGAAATCAATGACATAAACATAACCTGGAGCACGTTGGGGAAGAAAACACAAACAGACATGGAACAGAGTCTGACATTTATGAGCAGAAACATTTCCATTCATTCACCCTTCCAGTTCTAATGGATTGAGTCCAAAAAAGGCCTAAAATATAACAGAATGCTAATTACATACAATACATTAGCTACATAGTGATTATAAGATACTTTAAATAGTCAAATTTGTGGCATGTTATTTATTAGATGGCATGAATTACATAAAACATCAAAATAATACTGAGGTTTTAAACTTAAAGTTTTATGGATATGCAAAACATTCAATGAAATGTCCCAAAATGTGAATATGATAGTTGTCATATATCATGCATTTACATGCATTTACATAATCTAAATATGTGATTAGTTTATCGGAGTTATTACAATAACCATGAACTACTTCTGAGGAAACAGTGAACTCTGCTGGTGGACTGGAGAATTGTTAGCTGCAGTAGTTGATCAGTAAGATATGTAAAGCGACCAAAGAGTCCATATAGGTTTGGACCAACTTTGTGTTTGCCTCCAGCTTCAACAGTGTGACACTGAGAGCATTTATGAACAAAGATCTGCTTTCCTTTTTCTGTGTCTTCTCCCATTTTAATGCTCACAACAGATGGATCTGAAAAAAAAAAGAAAGGATCTTTGTCTACAGAAATTGACTTTCAAAAATAAACCTATTTTTAAAATATTCACTGAAGTAAAACAAGTGCCATGGTACCATCTCTGACACTATCAGTGTAGTATTGCCACAGCCGATTAATTTTGTAAGGACGCAAATGTACGTCAGGAAATCGAATAACTTCTTTCTCAAATGAACGCGGAATACGGGATCCATATGAACATCGATTGAATAAAACATTGTGGATTAAAATCGTTCTGTAAACGTAAAATAGATATTGACATTTAAAAGTTATCTTACGCTACAATACCGTAACGAAATTCGTTGTATCTTAATGTATTAGTAGGCCTATATTAAATGACAGACGTCGTGCACCCATATTTACTGCGCTACGAATACTCAAGTATGTTACTATCATTTGTCAAATTTCACTCATTTTAATGCCATGGCTAACTGCCAATACAGTTCTCAGTTTCTGTTCAGTTTAAACCTTTTTTTCTTCCACGAATACACCCTCAAAATCAGTCTGACCATGGTGGATGTGAATATCCGACATTTAATTATACTTTTAGGTGTATTTTTGGAACATAGACTGGATTTAGTAACTGAACATATGAAAAAAAAAAATGTTTTCTTTAAGTTATAAATAAAACTAAAAGATTGTTGGAGTACGTTTTACAAGACAATACTTTTTCAGTGTTAGAATTTGGGGGATCATCTATTAGTAACAAAATGTGGTTGATCTGTTTTGTTATTTGTAACAGGTTGTAAACTGCTCAGTTGTTGGACAATCAAATTTGTAAATGGTAAGTTTTCTTTTTCTCTTGTCTTGTAGGCCTATATTTTGCCAGACTGCTACTGCTCTTTTTGATGTGGGAGTTTGTATTTATTTGTGAAATTTATTTAAATAATTTCTCAGTGATTTTTAGTAGTAAATGCAACACCATTTTAGGGAATCTTCTTACACCCATAGCAGTGTTTGTTTGTAATCTGTTTGTCATGAAGAAAAGGCTAAAAAATTGATCATGTGTTATCCAGTTTAGACATTTGTACAAGTTTTGCACATCGTTGATGCAGTTGAATGCTTTTGGATATAATGTAGGCCTACTTCATTTAGATTGCTATATAGTTTGTATTATAGCAAGAGAACTGCTGCATGTAGGTTGTGTGAAGTTTCACCTCATGAGTTTTTGTGAAACTTGGATATCTAAGTCATAGGATGAATACTGAAGGTCAAAAACCTGAGAGCAAGGAATGGTTTTGATATTGCAAACACCAGTTCTCTTTTATGTAATTTGTTCCCTGCAGGTTGAAATCGCTGTCCAGGGGAAGGCTGGGTTGTCTCTTGGTTGAAAACTTAAATAAGACCTTAAAGCAAAGCAGAGAGGGATCATATATCTTCTGCATCTTGTGCACCTATATGAGGTAGGTGTATTATATCATTATTCTTGGTTAGATGTGTGTGTGTTTAGCAAATCATTGGGCAAATGGCATGTCACACTGTTCCTCAGCAACCTGTATGCAGACCATCTTGTAGAGAATCAACATCAAACATTCCAGTTAATTAAAGAGTGTATTTATAACACCTCAACCTCATTAAGCATTGTACTGTGGAGTGCATTTGCAGGAGAAAGCCGAGTGGCTCTTTTTTATGCAGGAACGAAAGGAACATTGATGCAGTTATGGGTGTTGGATGTTGAAACTCTCTTAAACATAAAGGTTCTTTATTAGCATGAATGGTTCCACGAAGAACTGTTAACATCAGTGGAACCTTTTTCTTGCATAAAAGGATCTTTATAGTGGACAAGTTTCTTTAGATTAATAAAATGTTTTTTTAGACAAAGACATTTTTTTTTTTTTTTTTAAGGAAATGATGATTGAAAGATTCTTTAAGGAACCAAAAATGGTTCTTCAATGGCATTACAGCAACAAAAAAAAACTCTTTTGAAACATATAATAACACTGTCACTAGTATAGTGTTATTCATAATTTACTCAAACAGTTTACAAGCAGGCAAGTACAGATGCAAATGCATGAAGAGAATAGGAAATTCATAAAACTGGTGAACAAAACATCTCTCATAAACAGCTGTTGTTTTGTGGGCTTCGTTAGTCTAAAGCTGTGTAGTCTGTGTTCTTTACAGTTTTTTCTACAGAGTCTTCTACTGTTTCAAGCAAGTAGTCATGGACTTGAGTCCTGCGAGAGAAATCAAATAAAGCAATTTGTTAGAAATTCAATGAAATTAATACATTATATATAAATTATATATATATAAAAAAATCACCCAAAATCAGTTTCAGTTGATAACAGAAATATTCAAGTTCACCTTTCTTTTGGAAATGGTGATTCAGGTGTGCGTGTGTAGAGAGTCAATGCATGGAAAGGGTCTAAAGGGAATATGTTCCTCCTCCCAAACCTTTGCGGGAGGGTGGCTGAGAGTCCGGTCCCTGAGCGCGCACACATTGTGCAGGACCGGCCGAAGCGCTGAGGGAGGTTGATATTGGATTTAGCGCGTTCCCTTGGGGTCATCTCTGTATCCCGCCCGAAGCGAAGGGGGAGGTTGGCGTGCACATGTGTTGGTTTTGTTATTATGGGGTGAAGTCGCAGGATGGTGGGAGAGCTCACACGGGTGCTGGTTGGGGCTACATTAAGAGTGAAGTCTTCTATCTCCAGACTCCGGGGAATCTCTTGAGCATTCTTTGACAACAAAAATGTAGAAGAAGAAATGGTGAAAATCAGCAGATTTAGTAATCAGTGGACTGTACTGATACACTAGTCACTGATGTCACTTTCAAACTAAGAAGTTGCATTCACTGTTTTTTTCAAATTTACAATTATTATTGTTTTTTTATTGTTATGTTTTTATTTGCTCATTTCCACTTTAAAATTCAAAGACGTATAGAGGATACTAACAGTAGCTGGATCTCTTTCTTATAACTTTGCTTATTTGTTATTTATTTAAATATTTCTGCTTTTTTTTCTTTTAATTTGGTAATTACCTAATGTAATCATGTTTATTCAGTAATAATAGACACAGTATGAAGATGTAGATAAAAGACAACAATAAAAACAATAATAATTATCAAATTTTAAATCTAAATAGTAAAAGTAAGATTAATATAAAATTTATAACTATATTATTATTTTTAAATAACATGGTGCAACATTATTTTATTTAATAATAATAATTGAAATAAAATAAAAATAATTGTAATCAAAATAAAAATTAAACATTATATATTACAAAACTTTTTAATGGTGCAACTTAATGTAAAAAAGAAAATTCAATAATATTATATATGAAGCCTTAGATCAAAGATAAAGAAAACAAAAATAACAATAATTATCATCATCATTATTTTAAGTCACTTGAAATTATATTATTTTATAATGACATGGTGCAACCCCATGTAATCAAGTTTATTCAATCCTATTAGATATGAAGACTTAGATCAAAGTCTATTAAGTTTTGGGCAAACTATGACTATGACAATTTACTCTGTATCCACAATTCCACACATACTGTATATTCCAACTCAAAATAGTAAAGGAAGTAAAGAAAAAGAAAGAGTATAAAGCACTTACCTCAGGAAACTGTCCCCATGTAAATCTATCAGGATCACTGTCATCAGGAAGTGGCAATCTGAGAGCCGTAACCTCCCTTAGCATGAAGCTGCTCAGGGTGCCGAGGGCTAAAAAGAGAAGAGTGAAGTAGGACATCTTACAATCGTTCACTGAAGTCCAAGCACAACGCAGGGTTTTTATACATTTGGCCATGTGCAAATAAACATACTCACAAAGACATTCCTTATGATGCACTCACAGCATTGCATACTTAATATATTAACACACAGCACCCACCTTCATTCATTCACTAATTACCTTCTTGAATGTTTCATAGCAACAGAGTGACAGGTCCAACTGAAAGAGGAGCAGAAGTCCTTACCAAAGGTGCCTAAGGTTTCTTAAGATGGGCCAGAAGATGAAGACTTTTTTTGAAGTAGACTTCTTTTCCGAATCACTATGATTTGATAACTAAACCCTTAATGAGGTGGCTGGTCTTGAAATATTAATGCATTACTGAGGAATTATTAGACAACTATAAACTGATTTCCTCCCTAATTGTAGTCTTATAAAGAGAGAAGAAGCAGGGAAAGGCCAACCAACGAGCATGTAAAATAATCTCCAGGAAATGTGCACCCTATATGACCAGTCAATAAAATGCATTCACATGCTGAACAAAACCTTTGGACTCGCTCCAAATTCACCAGAGAAGCATTTCATGTGACAATAGTTCAAATCAGTTCATTGTGCAGCTCACCGAGACCTCAATTACCACCACATTCAGGCTGGAGTAAGTAAAAATGGTCTGTTTTTTTCATGTAAAAGACACATGAGGATGAATAGGAAATTGACATGCTGGAAATGCCTGGATGAGGCGTTGTAGATCACAGAGTCGCACTGGTATTTTATCAATGGTCTGGTATTTTATTCCATCAAAGAATATTTACTAATTGCCATCACTGTCATGTAGATCATGGCAGTAAGGGGTGGCATATTAATTATGTAATCAGTGCTGTTTGGGAAAAGTCATCTAATGATGTTTATTAGTTATGTTAATCATCACCACCATCATCGTATAGCTGAAAGATATACATATATATATAAATATGAATATATAACATGTAAATATAAAAAAGGCATTCCACGAATGCTGTTTAAAATGTTTGAATAGGGCATTTTTGAGATTCCTTGTTTCAAATATGTCTCCATCAACTTAAAAAGCACATTAATGATCATTGGCTATAATTAGCTGTAGATGTGCATAGCACATATTTTTGTATGATGTCTATTAGCAGAATGCTCATATAGAATGTAATGTAACATTTAATTAAATAGGTCATAAATACGTAAATTATAGGTGGTGATATCTTGGAACCCTAAATGTTAATATTCTAGATGGAGTTTATATATAAAAACATTATCAAGTGGTTCGAAATTTACTTTAAACCGAATAATCTATTATTATATGCTTAATATCGATATGGCGCATCAATTAGACAACTTTTCTGTGAAGGTCAATACATATCTTATCCAGCAGGGGGCAGTGCGACATTATAACATAAGTGATAACACAAAACTGTCTCATTGCAAACTGTCAGTTAGGATTGTGTTGAGATTACGAGATAAATAAATCTTATTAAAAAATAAATATACTATATATTAGTTAGTTAATTGTAATTAGAAAAAGTCAATAATACATAGCTGGGCTGCTGCTGTAAGTTTGTGCCATGTATTGACACTGTTAATACGCAAAATGAATGAAAAACATACTTTCCGAACTAAACTTTACTCATTCATAACTCTCAAATGGATAAAAAAATCTTGCAGCGCGTCCAGTGGCTTTGTTTTTTACCTCAATGTGCCATTCATCAGTTATTAAAATAATAATGTGGAGGTTTTATTTAGATGGTTAGAGGATAGAGACCAAAATGTGTATGCTTACAGTTTATTCAGACTTCAGCTAACCAGTCCCTTTGTATTTTTTCCCATCCTGTCAGCTCGAACCGATCAAAGACCTGAACAAACATCCACCCTTGACATTCAGACAAGGGGTGTAGACCGCCACCACAAGACCTTAGTGTCGTCCAATCAGATGTCTGCCGAGGTCAGCATGTTTCTGCCAATCAGGAATGAAGCGGAAGGTGCTGATGAAGGATCAGGAAGCTTAGAAAATGGTCCTTAATGACAGAGGAGGGGTGTGTTCGAACATGTGTGTATTAGCATGCTACTATTTACGTACATGCTATATGCGATGGCTTTATCTGACACTAGCATCTGTAGCTTTGAACTTCAGGTCTCTGAAAACATGCAGAAGTGCAGTACATATAAAAAAAACATATAAAAGAGAGAGAAAGAGAGCAATAGTGTGGCTCCGCCCACATGGGGTCTTGAACTTTGATCTCTAGTCTCCTCTCTCGGCAGATTCCTAAGATGTGGCTATTGGCGGTGATGGGGTCGAGGCCTGGCGTGATGGCCAGAGTAAAGTGCAGTCAGTGTGGGAGGAGTGGGTGACCGTTAACCTTTCTACGAAACTGAACTTTGACCTCTATGCTTTGCCTGAAGGTGACGGCCTGAGCAACCTCCACTGTTAAAACTGGACATAAATATACTATCGTCGACATTCGCCGCCTCTCACAAAATTCAATTCAATATACACATGTTAATATTACTAAAGATGTACAGATATCTCCTTTCTATATGTTGTTCAGGTGTCAGACACAATTATAATTGTATACAGTTAATTGTATAGTATTTTTATGAATTTGTGACCACTATAATGGTAGGCCTAAAAATAATATTTCAGGCAAATATGATTAAAAGACTAAGGAAAAAAGAAAGTGCCGGTTACCCTGCTACTTGATTAAAGCGCTGCATGTGTCAAACAAACACATGGATGAGGATAAGCAGTACTCAACACTGAACTGCTCCTAGTGCCAGTAGACTGTATAAAAACCATAAGAGACATTTGATAATGGAGATGCAAACTATCCATGAAGTTGAGATGTAATTAGAACTCTTGCTGACTGATGACAGATGCATGAAAAGAGAACATCACACCCTAAATGATTAAAATGTCTCTTACAGTTCATGAGAGTAATAAATGGTTCATGAGAGTGTTAAATTGTACAAAAAAACATTAGAATATTTTATAAGGCTTTTGAATTTTTGTATAGTTTTATATGTTTATATTTTAATATCAATTTAATATTTAATTTTAATACATTTTTTGTTAACTCAATTTACTTATTTAATCCTTATATATACCATTCAGTCAGATTTTCATTTAAGAAATTAATACTTTAATAAAGCAAAAACCCAAATTGATTAAGAGTGACAGTCAAGTCATTTTTATTGTTACAGAAGATTCCTATTTTAAATAAATGCTATTCTTTTGAAGTTTCTGTTGATCAAAGAATCCTGAACAAAAAATGCATTACAATTTTAACACACACACACACAAAAGTAAATATTAATATAAATATTAAGCATGTTAGAATGAAGGATATCTGAAGGAAACTTTTGAACAATAGTGTATATGTAAGCTTTTAAATTCTGAGGAAAACAGATACATCTTCTCTTACATTCTTTCTCCCCCACACACACACACACACACACACACACACACACACATCATTTCAGAGGTATGTCTGCCCTCAAGTCTCTAATTCTTTGATCCTCTAAATCTCAAATACTAAGTCTCCACTGTTATTATTACATTTCATTCTTGACAGCCAGACTTTCCATCGCCAATCCCTCATGCACTACACTGCCTAGACCAGACCTCTAAATCAAATCCCATGGATCCCTATAGAAGTATGTGTTTGCTTGAGCTGTGCAGTCAACTGTCTATGGCATTTTCCCACTGTGTAGTGATAACATCAAGGTGTTGAAAGGTACAATCTCAACTGTTGGCACCTGCCAAATGCTCGAATGAAAACCTCTGCTACTGTGTTGAAAATGATTGGGACTGAGTGAGGACAAGGATCTAATTAAAAAACAGCTGAGACAAAAACTCTAATGCCAACTGACATTTTAAAGTGGCTCAGACAAATAAAAATCTGGGAAAGAAACACTTGCTTGATTGAAATTTTATGGATGACTTAAAACCTTTAACCGAAAGCAGCCAATACACATATATATAAGAAGCGAACCATGAAATGTCTGGGTAAGTCTAGTTATGCGTAACTGTGTTTACACTGGTAAATTATGTTGTAATGTTTTTGTGTCAATTAGTTGGTGTTCATCCAAAAGCAGTTTCTCAGCCTACAAAATACTAAATGTAATTGCCAGGAACATTTAACTACACTAAAGATGAACAGACTGTCAGTCATCCTGGCAGTTTAGCACATCTGGAGCCGACAAACTGATGAAAGTTTAGCAGATAGATCTCATAAAAGTAAGATGAATGGCCTACATGCATGCAGTATCACCATTAATCACAACCAAATTACTTACAGCATAAAACAAATGAGAGAAGGCAATATGAAAGAAATGTTGACACGTTACAGTAAGGTTTAACATTAATTAAGGTAATAGCTAACAAAGTAATTATGAACAATTTTTTTTACAACATTTATTATGTGTTGTTAATTTCTAACATTTATTAGATGCATAAATTTACATTATTAACATTATGAACAAACGTGATTTTACTATACATTTTTAAATCAACATATACAAAAATAAATTCCAAAGAATGTTAAGAAATCAAACCTTGTTGTAAAATGCTTCTGAATGCTACTATTTATTTGAAAAATGTATGTGTTTTTAAATAGAAAAAGTTGTTTGTGCTTCAACTTGGCTTCCAATAGTATAAATACAAGCTTTTTTTCCCTTTTGAGTTGGTTTAGAGAAACCCAATTCCCTTTCTTTCAGAGTAAGTCTTTGTCAAAAATCCACCGATATCCGGGGAGGAAAGTGCATAAAAACCCCAAAAATATGATAAGAACTGTTGTAGCTATGCCATTCATTTATTCTTGTTCAAAAGAAGCAAATAAGAAGTTAGAGAGAACACACAAAGGAACATGTACAGAACATTTACTGCGCAGGAGAATCACATAACAACACACAGGGGACTAAGAAGTCATGTGTGAGTGTGTATGTGTGCGTTTAAGTGGGAAGGAGAGAAATAAGCGAGAGACAGACAGAGAGAGTGAAAGAGAGAGAGAGAGAGAGCGGGAGGGATTTAGTTGCTGACAGGTATGACTGATGATATGTTGGGTCTACAGGCTGAAACAGTAGATGGTATCAAGGAAAGCCAAGATTAAATCAGCTGGAACACACACTCACACACACACACACATGCATTTTCCATTTACCACCTTTGACTGCTTCACTTTAGTGTTGACTGTATCTCATAACAAAACAAATGTGCAAGACACCAAAGGCTCGCAGATTTACATTCGGGTACCAGCTGTTGGAGGGCATTCATTAATAATGTGCTATTTCTTTACCTACATGGCCATCACACAGGCACACACATACAATTTTCCCAACAGACTCGTTAGAATTCTCATGCTTTCTACTAATTGGTCATTTTGAACACTGATGTCATTGTGCAAAGAATGAGGTCACAATGATTGGTCTCTGAGAGAGGGCAAAAGAGACAGACAAGAGAGAGGGAGAAACAAAGAGAAAGACAGATAGGCCAGGGAATGAGAGAAAGAGACAGGCATAGAAAGACAGACAAAAAGATACAGAGTTAGGGCACAGAAAACACATAGGCTAATGGGACTGCCATACTTAAAATGTACTAATAATTATTAAACCATAGACTTGAGTTAATGTTCTTAAATTTAAGAGGTTAGTAACCTTAACTGACCGGCACATGATAGACATGTGACCTGTTTAACAACTGTTTTTTCATGGAAATATTGTAATTACACTCTGGTTCTCTAAATTCAGAATATGGATAGTGAATCAACATAAGATACGTTCACACATTTACTGTTTAGGATTGACAGCGGTTTAGGCTACTTACTTACAGAGTCTCGAACATTTGAGCCGCGCGCAGACCACAAAACTGACGGGAGCAGCTCTGGTACAAAACAGTTAGGCCTACTGTATCTAAAACCTCCAGATGACACACGGCTCATATCTCCGCCTATGTGAGTTACCAAAACCATATACACACAAATTTCGCGTGCGCAGAGTGGTTCTTTCACACCAGAAGTAGCCTACTAAGGTTTCGTTCACACAGCAGGGGTTTGACAAAAATACGGGGTTTAGTCCAAAATTTACATGTGTGTGAGTTTTGTAACAGAATATGGTTGTCACTCCCGTAAATAAACACATTACGTGTGAACGTAGCCTTATTAAGCATTTATGTAGCTTATACTGGATTGAAAACCACATGCTGCTGTGCCCAAAGAAAAATAGGGGCCTACTACTCTATCTATAGCCTATATCTTGTGTGCTGTACTTGTTTGTGGTTATACTAATTTTTATAGCCATAAATCTTCTTGTAATGCAGTGTAATTTCTAAGTAGGTCTGGTCTACCTACATTTAATAAGCGTACTGTTACAACAATAAAAAAATCTGAATCAAAATAGAGCAACTGCGTTTTTCTCATATTTCACTCTAAAAAGTTTTTGTTGTGTCTCAAGATCGATTATACCTCTTAATCATGATAAATCATGAAAAAGTGTGGAAATCACGGTTCTGAGACATACTACAAAAACAAGACACATTTTAAATAGCCCACTTAATGCATATTCTGTCACTCTTTGACATTTTTATTTCTTCCTCTCAGATGTGTGAAAGTTTCTGTGACTGTTTAATGAGGAAAGCAGTGAAGTAGTTTATGATTGGTTGTCTGCTGCTAAACAGCTCACCATAATATTCTAACACTGCATCGTTTCACACTATATTCCTTTAGCGTCAGTTCACAACCAAGTGTTAAAAGCAGTGATAATCCTCTTTCAATACAGATGTGAAACATTACTTAACCCAGTGTTAAAACTGGCCTTGGCCTGGTGATTATAAAGATGTTAAGTTGGTGTAAAACATTTGACAAATGTTTTTATACATTGCATTCAAGGTATGCATTTTTTAATTAGTCTATGCATCCCATAGTAATCGAACCCATGCTCTACTGGAACATGCATCATGACTATTGGCACACACTCACATACAAATAGTCTATGTTCTCTGTATCCTATTTCTGTGACTCTGTTATCTGAGC